TTAGAGTTTACAAGATTATTTAACATACAAATGACAGAATCTATCATTTTCTATCATTTTAATTCTAACGATATTACTCTTGATGATGCAGTATTATTTCTTTGCCTTCTGGTCAAGTTTCATCTTCATAAAGACAGAACCATTCAATGTAATCCTGATTTAAGAATATTCTCCTCTGATTTAAAGTTCCTTTTTTCTTCTTTTAAGAAAATGTCAAAACCTTTAAACTCAAAGGCTTCTAAAACAAATAATATCCTTGAGTCTGTTGTAAAGAACCTTTAATTTTTTATATTGACCAAATGTAATATTGTATTGATTTGTGTAGCCTAATTCAATCTCTTTTTATGTCGCCCTTGTCTTTTTGTTTTTTCTCTTCTCACTGTTAATGTCTGTATCCTTTCATTTGCAATACAAAATTAATTAATTAGTTAATTTAAAAAAATATGATTTAACATACCTCAATTCGTGTCGCTGTACAGCCTCCCCCTACTGGGCGCATCAGGAACAACAGGGGCTTAAAACTGCCAGGGGCGTAAAACCATAGATATCCATAATAATTATTATGGATATCTAGGTGTAAAACTGCCAAGGCCGTATATCTACCGGCTCCAGGTCTGCAGCCTCCCCCTACTCAGAATCAGCGCTGCCACTGAATCTAGTGGCTCACAGCGCCCTCTAGTGTATGAAAACACAATACTAGGGAGCGATTAGGCAGGGTAGCTATAGTGGTACTAAGTGGTACATTTCTTCAAATATACTTTTTTTTTCTTCATTGCTAAATTAATCAGCACAATACACAAAATTAAATCATAGCTGTTTAACCACATGTAGGCCCTAGACCGAGTTATCCATAAGAGTAGCCCAGGGAAGTGCAGAGTTCTAGGGGAAGAGGCTCAAATGTAAAAAGGGGGCATATATCTAGCTATATATATATATTTGAAAGAAATTAATAGCCTAATTTTATTCCGCAAGGATGTGCTAAATTGGTAAAAAAAAAAAAAAGTGATAGTAAAGAATTATATAAAAAAGTTATATTTTAATTAAATGCTGTTCTTTTTACATTTTTATTCATCAATGAATCCTGAAAAAAGTATCAAAGGTTCCAAAAAATATTAAGCAGCACAACCGCTTCCATTATTGATAATAAGTCGACTTTTGGTGCTGCAGGGTTTTGTGTAGGCTACCAAATTGTTCCGAATATAAGACGACCCTGAATATAAGATGACCAAGATGTCAAGATGTACCTTTTGGGAAAAGGCTTTTTAAAGACCAAATCTGGTCTTTTAAAGAAAATTCTTTATTTTACAATAATTTTCATATTGCATATATTTTTAATATTTAATTTTTTTATTTTTTTATTTAAAGTATGGTAAATACTGGTAAAATGTATCAACAATAATCACATTCAGAAATAAACACTTTATGGCATATAGCTACGATAAAAATAAACTATATAGGTTCTCATTAATTAGATTTCTCTATGACTGATTTCTCAACTTTTTTATGTACAGTGACAGATGGCGTGTCAAAAAACAGGTGTTTGGTCCGCATTACCTGATTATCTGATCTAGGGGGTATGATATGAATGTTTTTTTCCTTAGGTCAATCACATAGCGCAGAAAAGACATACTCCCTGTAGTCGGTAGGCTGTAGCCAAAATAAGAAATGATAGACCTCGCTCGGCAATATTTTACAAATAGCCTATAATACATGATCAAACAGCTGAAAATATATAGAAAATGATTCATTAAATAAACTATAAGATCACTCTATTAAACAAAATTAACCAGATGTATTCAAATGAACTAGAAAATATAAATAGGCTTTATAGTATGGAAAACTCAGGCTAGGGCCTACATGTGGCTAGACAGCTATAATTTAATTTTGTGTATTATGCTGAATTAATTTAGCAATTCTTTTTTTTTAAAGGTATTTTTAAGGAATGTACCACTTACCTTTAACAATATAGCTACCAGAGAGATTGTAAAATGCTTTAGTTTACCCTGCCTAAAGCCTTGTTTATACTCGACGCGTCCGCAAGAGCGCGAAGTGCGCGCGGCAAAAATGACGTCATTGCGGTGTGGGCGGTCGTGCGCGTTGGGTGCGCAAGACCCCATTTCGCCTGGCGGTGTGCACGGCACTTTTTGTAACATCGCGCGCGGCGCCGCATCCGAAGATGAACGACTTCGAGCCGAATCTGGCCGAACTGGTATGTCGGTACCACCATGTTTATGATCCTTCTATACACAGAGACATTTGCATTGATGGGCGACCATGAAAGCCTCTCATTTTGTGAATAGGAACACATTTACATTAAGCACCCAGTTTGCACTTGTATAAAGTAACTGCTTACATTTACAAAATAAGCCTACAATAGCAGAAGTAAGCCCTGCTGATGAAATTAAGGTTTAAACACTCTTCAATAAGGCTTCAGTTGTTTACTAGTTTACATGCAGTGAAAGTGCAATAAACCTACTGCATTTATTACTCTTTTTATATGAATCAGAAATTAATAAACTACTAATAAATGGCAAACTACTTCTTCACTGCTGATTCCTGGTGGTTTAGAGGAGAATTACTCCGAGTCGCCCCCTGTCGTTTCACAGAATAGCACAACGGCGAGCGCGTCAAGTATAAACGCCTCGTCCATATGGAGAGGTCCGCGCGCAGTCAGCGGAGACTCGCGCTCGTGCAGACGCGTCGAGTATAAACAAGGCTTAATCGTTCCCTGGTATTGTGTTTTCATACACTAGAGGGCGCTGTGAGCCACTAGATTCAGTAGCAGCGCTGATTCTCGCAGCTCTCGCCGGGTGCAGTGGCGCGCGCCTGTAGTCCAAGCTACTGGGAGGCTGACGCCGGGTTCACACCGGACGCTGAAGCGACGCGGAACGGAAATTCACGCGCGGTCCGGCGCGTGCCTGTTCACACCAGACGCGTGTTCTTCGCGGAGGTCGACAAGCGCTTCTGCTCAGTTGTTTATTCAGAGCTATTTTTTTTTTTACATCATGGGTAAGTAAATAACCTCATAATATAAATACAACATGTTTCTGTAACCAAGAAGTTTGTGCCTCTCCCTCTCGTTGTTTCCCTGTTTGTTTGTGTGTTCGCATTTGTCACTCGCGGTATTTTAATTTGAAAATTGCTTTTATTTTGACAATTGACCGGATAGTCGAGTGTTTCTTGGTGTAACTTCCTTCCGGAATTGACGCGGATCACTCGCGGCTCGCGGAAAAAATAGACCAGACGCCGAAACTGGCGCTTCACGGCGCGTGCCGCCTGCGCCGCTCCGCGTCTGGTGTGAACGACACCATAGGTTAACATGGGCGCCGAAAGGAAGCGGCCTCCGTTCCGCGCCGCTTCCGCGGCGCTTCAGCGTCCGGTGTGAACCCGGCGTGAGGCTGGAGGATCGCTTGAGCTCAGGGGTTCTGGACTGGACCCCTTTTCCAGCAAAAACGAACTGGTTCGGAACTGGTGCTGGTTCAAAGTTGGTTCGGAGTTGGTTCAACTTGCGAACCTTCTCAGAACCTGTTTGTTTTTCCACTGACTAGAGCGCCCAGCGAACGACGTCGTTACGTCACTGTGTACGTCGCCATACATCTTAGAAACGCTTGCAAGTATATTACTTTGGGATTATCTCTAACTCGTGAACCAAGAAGGCTTTAAAAACAATTGAAATATGTAAGTCTTTTAATCTTTTCCTTTGATATGTAATCTTTTCTGATTAGTTATGTACTCCTGTCTTGTCTTTTTTTTTATTTTTTTTTATTTGTTCTATATTGTGACTGTTTTCTCCTTTGCTTACATAACGTTTTCAATAAAAAAAAAATAATAATAAAAAAAACTAGAAACGCTTGCGCCAACTTCAAGCATAACAATTACAATGGCGGACTACATCGTGTTTCTGCAAATGTTTCTCCTGGCTTTGCGATCCTATATTATGTCAGAAAATAATATGTTATCTAAACCCGCCCCCAGCTCCCGAGGTAAGCATGACGTGGTAAAAGAACGGTTCTAGTCCAGCAAAGAGTTGGTGCCGCTTTGGAACCAGTTTTCCTGGCCGAGAACCGGTTCTTTGGCTGTCGAAACACAAAGAACTGGTTCGCGCGCAGGCACCGGCTCCGAACCGGCTCTCTAAATGCGTTGATGGAAAAGGGGTAATGTCGATCGGTTGTCCGCACTAAGTTCGGTATCGATATGGTGATTCCGGGGGAGCCCGGGACCACCAGGTCGCCTAAGGAGGGGTGAACCGGCCCAGGTCGGAGACGGTGCAGGTCAAAGTCCCCGTGTCGATCAGTAGTGGGATCGCGCCTGTGAATAGACACTGCAGTGCATCCTGAGCGATACAGCGAGACTCAGTCTCTTTGGTGTTTGTCTATCTAGCGTCATTTTATTACTCAAATATTGATGGGTTAAGAATTCAGCTGCAGGCCGATATGAAATCAAGCTGTTTATAACAGGTCAGTAATGTTATTGTCAAAATATTAGTTTTGTCTTAAAATGTTAAACATTTGTAAACCTCAAGGATATAAATTATAGAAAATAAATAAAAATAAATGTAGAAATATATATTTCAACGATTCTGTTTATACACACATGTAAATCTTGTCTATCCTTTAAACATGCAAATAGCCTAGTATTAATAGCCTAATATGAATACATAATTCATATTAAATAAATAAAGTGCATCAAGAAATGCCTTATTATAACCTCTCAACTATGAAATAGGAACTCTAATTCATCAACATAATCACAAGGTGTTTTATCATTGATTCATACATTCCATTGAAATATAGAAACAGAAACAAACATTTTGGGATCGAATTTTATTAAAGGTCATAATGCATAATGATGACTCTCCCAGTCAGAATATCAATTGTTGAAAAGGGCCTCTTAAAATAAAATAAGAGTTTAATGGACTCTTACACATAGTCAAAATTTACTTTCTGCAGATTTCCAAGCTAGCTGTTTTAACAAGAAATACATCAAGAAAAAGAAAACTGTGCTTCTCAACTTTAATTTTGAATTGTAAGACAGTCAATACAGAATGCTACTGTTGCATTACAACCTCATTATGTTCTGTGTTTACATTTGGTGTTGTTCATATGACTTGTTTACATTTGACTAGACTGGCGTTGTACACACAAACACCTCACCTGAAAGGGAAATAAAAAGAGATATTAATAAATAACATACAATCGGAAGCTGACCCAAATCACCCCCACAGTAACAAAATAAGAGAGATTTTATTTACCCTGTCCTTGAGTCCTATAAGAGCGGGAAAAGATTAGTCCATTAGTGAAGTCCTTTTTTTCAGAAGAAAACATCACCCAACACCCATTTCCCCATCCTTGTGTTGTTCAGTTGTTTGAAATAAAAAGATGAACTTACTGAACGCCCTGATTTTCCAGGAGGCACCTGTAAGTGGCGATCTCCTGCTCCAGACGGCTCTTGATGTCCAGCAGTACAGCATAGTCTCTGCCCTGCTGCTCAATGCCAGAGCGCACCTGACAAAGCTCTGCCTCCAATGAGTTGATATGCTTCTGAAAGCCTGCTAGCATAGCGCTGTACCTAGCCTCTGTTTCCAACAGTGAGCACTCCAGTGCTCCTTTCTGTGTGGGTAAAGACAAGAGGCAGAAGGAATAAAGGATGACTAGACAATTTCTAGATAATTCCTCCACCTATATCTCACCAAAGTCTCTTTAAGGCATGCCAGTTCACAACTAAAATGACATAAAAGTCTATGAGTGTGTGATCCTCAGTGGTTTAGTGTATGGTACCCAGTTTTTCTCTATAAACGTTTGTGATATAGGCAAGTTTATGATGCAGTGTTTTAAAATCTGTTCAAATTTCAACAGTCATGTAGGATATTCTAGCTCAAATCACATAAACAATTATATTTTTCAGGCTAGTTTAGCTAATGCACATGTGTAAAACATGATTTTCTCACCATGCTGATCTGAGACTGCAGCTCGATCTCCAGACACTGCAAGGTACGCCGCAAATCTGAGATCTGTGACCTAGAGGTTTCTAGGCACTCTGTGTGGCTGGCCACTTCTTTGCACAGTTGTGCCGTCTTAAAGAGAGTAAGAAACACACACAACATGAGAACTATAATAATTTGTAATGCACACTGTCATACTGTACTCTTACTGTTTTGATATCAAATGTCTGCCACTATATATGATGGCAAATTAGGAGAGGAATCAAAGAAACAGAGGCTGAAGTCTCACCTTCTCTTTGAACCAGCACTCATGTTCTCTGCGGTGTTTATCTATGATGGTCTCGTAATGACAACGGATTTCGTCCAAAACCTTGTTCAGGTCTTGCTGAGGAGCAGCATCCACTTCCACACACACTTTGGTGTTTGTCAACTGACACAGTAGTGCTTCAATATCCTGTAACCACACAGTACTCATGCATCAGGTCTTGACTATCTCATTGCAAGTTCTTTAAGCACACCTTACATTGCTCATGACTCAAGCTGTCAAGATCACTAATACATAGTTTAATCTGCTACAGGCAAACTAACCTCCTTATAGTTCTTCTTCAAACACGCTAGATCTTCCAGCAGAGTCTCAATCTGGATCTCCAGGTTGGCCTTTGTCAGGGTCATGTGGTCCAGCAAGCGACGCAGGTTGGCGATGTCAGCCTCCACAGACTGCCGCACTGCTAACTCATGCTCAAATCTAATTGGTGGAGTGGCAGGATGGGGAATAAACTCACCAATCATGTTTGGCCAATACGATCTGTTAAGATGCTAAAGCTAGCAAACTGGTTACAGAGGAATATTATTTAAGAGAACTCACTTAATCCTGAAGTCATCAGCAGCCAGTTTAGAGTTGTCGATCTGCAGGAGGATGTTGGCGTTGTGGATGGTAGCAGCTCCAATCTATCAATGTAGAACATTGATATAAAAATATATTAATGTAGAGCATACTTACGTTTTTCATCATTTCATCCCTTATGAAAGTACACGTGTACCTTTTCCTTCAGGCAATCGATGGTGTTCCAGTAGGCGCTGCAGTCCCTCTGGCAGATCGGCGCCTTCTTCTCATAGTACTCGCGGATCTGCCTCTCCAGAGTGGCATTTGCAGCCTCCAGGCAGCGCACCTTCTCCAGGTAGGATGCCAGACGATCGTTCAGGCTCTGCATGGTGGTCTTCTCATTCAGATGGATGTAGTCACAGTTCCCAAACATGATTCCCAATCCTCCATTGTTCAGTTTGCCATGACGTCCAAGTCCTCCACCAATTTTGCAACGCAGATCTGGATAGCAACCAACGCTGCGATAACAGGAGGAAGAGATGCGAGAGTTTCCTCCAAAATCATAGCCACACACACTGTAGGCTTTAGGTGTACAGGTAGTTATTGTACCATAGCTAATTGGAGTAACTATGGATTTTGAGGTCATGGTCTTGGGACCGTGGCAGGATGACGTACGGAGAGAGCACGACATGGTGGATTAATGCAGAGATGAGATGAACCCAGAGAGGACACTGAAGGAAACCGGTAGATTGTCCTGGCGAGGATGGCACCTTTGAGCCTGGCTCTGACCTCTTATAGAGATGGAAACCCAGGGCGGGTCCTGCACTTTGTCAATGGGAAAAGGAGGTAGGGTGTGTGTGAAAGTGGTTTGTGCCAGTTTAACGCCCTTTGTCGGTTAAGAACTGAAAAAAAAGGTTATGCAATTTAAGGTAATGCAAGGATGGTGAATTTATGACACAAATTTCCACACCTGATTTTCCAATGTAACGTTTCGTGGGAATTGAATGCCATTTTTGGTTATTTATTGTCCATTTAAAATCATTTCTCTTTTTTTCCTTTATTAATTTTATCTTTTTCTCCCAGTGTTATTGGTGTATAATTGAGTTAATACTATAAGCAAATGGTTTGTCCTGCTAAAACTATAGGGCTACTTAAAAAGTTAGAATGGAAATGTTAAAATATCTGCTTTTCACTGTTAGTAAAATGTTGGTCTGTTCATGAGTGCCACCAAGTCGTAGTTTTATGTAACAGCGCCGACTCTGGGCATGTGACCAAAATTGGTTGGCCAGTTTCTTTGCAGTGTGATATAAAAGAGTTTAAAACATCTCTCAGAGAAAAACGCATTGATGGCGTGCAAATGTTCATTTTTATTGTACCGAAATTTTCACCACTATTTTATACAGTAAAAAATATTTTCCTGATTTGTTATCACAACATTTTTACTATTGTCAAATCAACTTAGATTAACTTAGATAATTTATGTGGTTCAGATAACATAATATTTTGAGTTTATGTTGATCAAACCAATCTCCTTTATTGTATTAACTCAAATATTAACTTAAAATTGTAAGGCAACCAGGTTACTTTATTTTGTTAAAGTTAAACCAACAATAATTTTTTACAGTGTATGAGGTGGAAATTTCATAAGAATTTGTATCAATGAGTCATAGGCATAAGCAGATTGTACAAAACACACATGAGATGGGAGACAAATGAGATTTGAGGTTTGACCACAAATTTGCCAAAACGTAAATTAGTTCTGAAATGCCATGAGTTTGAAATTTCAACTACATTCTTGGATGCCGCAATACAGGTTTCACTGAGAGAATCACAGATTTTGTTAATAAATTCTCAAATGCACATATTTCACAGCAAATACAACTGTGAACACAACTTCAGTTCACCATGCAGCATTCTGTAGATTTTGTTATTGCTAACATGTTGCATTTTATCCATTCTGTAAGCCATTGCAATAGTAAATCTTCATTATCATAAAATAAGACCATATTTTCATATTTATGGAGTGGTGTGGGTGAATCAAAGTCCAAAACTGAAGTTTTCTTTGATGTGCACAAGTGTGGCTGGTAGGGCTGAGCAAATAAGTGGAACTCTTTTTTACGGCCCTAATCACTTTAAAGTTATACATGTGAATTAAACATGGTACCATGCCCATCATCATCACATTATATAAGACCTATCTGAATCATATATGCTGACTGAGTGTGAAGTCATATGGTTTCACCCCACATTACGCTCTCTGCAATATGATTGAGTTGATAACACTTATAATATGTGAACTTTTAAAATGTCTGACCTGTCTAGTCAAGCACCTGCTGTTATTCGGCTATATAAATGGCCAGTTTCCAGTGACATTAGAGAAAATTATAGCCTCACCCATGTCTGGTTTTGAATTAAGCTATGACTGAGTGTACTTTCATGATAGTTTTGAATATTATAATTGATCACTCATTAGGTTGTTAGGAGTCCTTAGGTCTAGATCAAGGAAGTGTCTTTGCACACATTGTGTGCTGGTCATAGCAATAGTACAGATTAAAATTAAATTTTAGCAAAATGTTATTGATGCTTTAACACACCCTGATAGTGAGTTGGTTGAAACGACAGTCAGAATATTGTCTGTACTTGATATTAAGGGATACATTGTATATTTCTAAACTACAAAATCAGATAAATGTGAAAATATTATAAACGTTTGAGTCTTTGAGAGAGACAGCACAAAAGTCAGACCGTGTTACAGACAAAGAAAAAAAATGTGCTACAAAACATCTGCATCTCCCCATCAAACGGTACATTTCTTCTGTTACACTTATGTTCAGTTAGTTAGGTTAGTTTTCATAGACTTTTAGTTTTGTTTTCATCAGACACTTGTGTTATTTGTCTTTGTTTCCCGCCACTCATCTGTCTCCATGGACATTTTATCATCACAGTTATTCATAATTTAGTTCATCACCATGTGTATTTTAGTTAGTGCTATGATTAGATGAACACTGTCTGCCTTTTTGTTTAAACCTCGTTTACGTTTGTATCCTGTCAGTCCATCCTCATCTTCTTCATCTTCAAAACTCTTTTTAGACAGTTTTCATGCTTGACACTAAATGCATTCAATGACCAAATCTATCAAAATTCATTACTTTTTTTATCCAAATCATTACATTTATTATATTAACCTACGTTTATACTACGGGGCTGTTGAATGCTTGAATCTGATTGGTTGACAGACCGCCAGATCTGTTACAAACAAAACTTTTCTGTTGAATGACTTTTTCTCATCAAATAACTTGGATTTTCTCTTCATCACTGAAACATGGCTCGCTCTAGACGATCAAACTTCTTTATCTGAACTCTGTCCTACGAACTGTAAATATCTCAGTTGCCCTAGAACTTTTCTAGCTGTGATTTTCAAAAACTTGTTTCCATGTAAGTCTTTTTCTATAGACTCTTATTCCAGTTTTGAGGCCTTAGTTTGTAAGGTTGATTTACTGAAACCTGTGCTTTGTGTTCTAATTTATAGAGCACCAAAATCCAATAAGGATTTTTTAACAGAGTTCTCTGATTTCCTATCTAATTTGGCCACAAAAGCTGATGTTGTTTTGCTTCTAGGCGATTTTCATTGTACATGTTTGTTGCCCACAAAAGCCACTTGTAAGAGAGTTTACTCAACTTTTAGACTCTTTTAACTTAATACAATATATTTCTGATCCTACACATATGCAGGGCCACACTCTTGACCTTGTTATGACTTCAGGTTTTCCTATAACAAACATTGACATTCGTGATGCTGGGTTGTCTGATCATCTACCAATAATATTTGATTGTTCTATCCCTGCGTTAAAACCTGAAAATAGGTCCTCCACTTACCTGTCTAGAGTTATTAACTCCTCTACTGCTGCACAGTTTATTGAGGCTTTTACAGAACTCCCAGTAGGTGTCACTACACACTATTCTGATGTTGATGACTTGGTGGTTAGTTTTAATACATCTTGTACTGGTATTTTAAACGAAATCGCCCTCCGTAAAGTCAGGATACTAAAAGAGTGTAGACGGGCAGAAAGAAAATGGAGGAAGGACAAATTACAAATCTCCTACCAGTTATTGCAAAATTCCTTAGTCAAATTTCAAGAGGAGGCTGCCTTTCAAAGGTAAATATTGCCTAAATATTTCTCTAATCTGATTGCCCAAAATTCCCACTGTCCAAAGTTTTTGTTCGCTAAATTCAGTATTCCATTCTTCTACTGAGATTGGTGTTGCTCAGAGCCCAGAGTTATGTGAGAAGTTTTGCAGATTTTTCATAAACAAAATCCTTTGCATTAAATCACAGATTGTACTGAATCCATCCCAGAAGGTCTGGCGTTTGCCCTTGAGCTAAATTTTCACACTTCCATCCGATCTCATTCTGAACTAACGAATACAGTGTCCAGTTTATGATCGACCACATGTTCACTTGACGTTATACCAACTACATTACTAAAGGAAGTTCTGGACTCAATTGCACCAAATATCATTTCTGTCATCAACAGTTCTTTTCAGACGAGTTCCGTTCCATCTTGTTTCAAACATGCAGTAGTTCATCCGCTGCTTAAAAAGGCAAATTTGGACCCATCTGATCTTAATAACTATAGACCTATTTCGAAACTGCCTTTTTTATCGAAAGTATTGGAGAAAGCTGTTTTAAATCAGCTATCCCCTTACTTAATTGAGAATAATATACTCGATCCGTTTTAGTCTGGGTTTAGATCAAAGCACAGCACTGAATCAGCCTTGTTAAGAGTGGTAAACGACTTCTTGTTATTTGTGGATTCTGGAAATTGTGCAGTTCTGGTATTGTTGGATCTAAGTGCAGCTTTTGATACAGTGGATCACTGCATCCTTTTAAACAGGTTAAAAACTGAGGCTGGTATCTGTGATTCAGCTCTAAAGTGGTTTGAATCCTATTTCTCTGAAAGGAGCTTCTCTGTGGAGATAGATAGGTCAGTTTCATTCATCGTCTGTTCCTGTTACGGGGGGAGTACCGCAAGGCTCCATTTTGGGACCGATTTTATTTTCATTAAATATGCTCCCTCTTCGTTACATTTTCGAATCTCATCAGGTTCCTTATCATATTTGTGCGGATGATACCCAGTTGTACATGCCAATAAAATCTGGGTCTAAGTCCTTATCTGATTTATTAGCCTGTGTAAATGACATTAAAAGTTGGATGGGTGATAATTTTCTTCAGTTAAATGAAAATAAGACTGAAGTTATTTTATTTGGCGCCCCCCATTTGGTAGATGGCCTGACCTTTGATTTAGGACCTCTGGAAGCCAATATTCGCACTCATGTAAAAAACCTGGGTGTCGTTGTCGACTCTGAGTTAAAATTTGACAAGCAAATAACTGTTGTCAGAGGCAGTTTTTTCCAGCTCAGGAGTTTACGGAAATTAAAATCTATTTTATCTTTTGGCGACCAGAGACAGTCATTCATGCTTTCATCTCAACAAGGCTGGATTATTGCAACGCTTTATATGCTGGTATCAACCAGTTTTCACTAATGCGCTTGCAACTGGTACTAAATGCTGCAGCTCGTTTCTTAATGTGGAAGAAAAAACGTGAGCATATCACCCCTATTTTATCACATTTGCATTGGTTACCGGTCAAGTACAGAATTGAGTAAAAGGTTTTGACTTTTGTATTTAAAGCCTTGCACGGTCTTGCTCCAGTTTATATCTCAGACTTTCGTCCATACTCTCCACCAAGAACTCTTAGATCATCCTCTGACAAATTATTAACTATCTCACACTCGCGCTTGAAATCTAAAGGTGATAGAGCCTTCTCCGTTTTTGGTCCGAGGCTGTGGAATTCGTTACCTCAATCTGTTAGGTTAGCTTCTTCTTTACATGTATTCAAGTCAGCTCTGAAGACGCATCTTTTCTCTCAGGCCTATTCATAACTGTGGATATGTAGCCTTAGTGAGTCAAAAAATGTATATGTAATTTGTACGACGTTTGTTTTTATTGTGTTTCTGTGAAGCACCTTGGTCAGCAGTAATGCTGTTTTAAGGTGCTATATAAATAAAAGTGACCTTGACCTTGACCTAAAAGTCAAAGTCTCTCTCTCTCTCTTCTCTCTCTCTCTCTTTAATAACTGCATTAGTCTGCTCAGTGGCTCAAACCTCCATTAACTACTAGCTCTAAAATGGCGTTTTGAAAGCAACGGAGGGGATTAGACCCGTAAGAAATTAGTCCTACACACACACAAGATGGTAAATGGACTGCATTAACATAGCGCTTTCACAGACCCAATGGCCACCAAAGAGCTTTACATATTGCCTCACATTCACCCATTCACTCACTACACCAACGGCGGTGTCAGCCACGCAAGGCACCATCCAGCTCGTCAGGAGCAGCTGGGGTTAGGTGTCTTGCTCATGGACACCTCGACAGGTGGAACCAGGGATTGAACCACCAACCTTCTGGTTTGTAGACAACTTATGAGCCACTGCCTGCCACTGCCACCCCACAAGAGTGTTTTAATGACAAAAACTTGACAAACGTCTTGAAATACATCATCTGAACAATGTTTCGAGGTGTGTAAAAATAATTGACTAAATAATGTAGCCTACACCCTTTCTAATAATTCAACGGCCCGTCGCTAATTCTTGATGAATAACCTATTCAAAATAAAATATAGGCTAATTAAATGCTTTTTTTTTTTTTGCTCAGTACTGAGAAATGGAACTGTGAGACTGTGATCAGTCAGTGCTTTTAGTGCTCTAGTTGTTTGTTGTGGTGATTGCACAATGCACATGCTCCTGAGCGGGATGTTAGAGGGAATAGATTGTAGATTCGGAACTGTCTGCGATAGGCCTATGTTAGTTGGGAAGTCAAGATCATGTTACAAAGTGTGGTGTTAAGTATGGAGAGTTTGCTGCCAGTTTACTGTGATGAAAGTCAATGAAGAATTATGATGTAGGCTAAGTGTCTTTATCGTCCAGAGTGAACAGGATGAAGATGACGTACATGTGATATGGCATCTGTGTTGAATCTAAACTTTAAGGGGTCCAGTGTGGGTGGGATGGCTTTGATGTTGGTCATGACAAGCTCTCAAAGCACATCATGATGATGGGTGTGTGTACAGGGCAGTAGTCATTAAGTAAGGTTATTGCTAACTTCTTTGGTGTAGGGATGATTAACTTTTAATTTTGGTGATAATCAAACCTCTGTATAAAACATGACACAAACAACAAACAAGGTGTATCAAACAGGCAATTTAGACAGACAAACAGGCCATTCATCCTCGGTGCATTCCAATGTAATGGTCATGATTGGTTTGTATTCTGTGAAGATATTTTGTAGTATGTCGGCAAATGGGACCTATTGACTTCCATAGTATTTTTTTTTCCATTATGGACAGGGCCGGATTAACCATACGGGTAACTGGGCAATTGCCCAGGGGCCCAAGACCTCTAAAGGGCCCAGGGCAGCAAGGGCACGAGCATACAGGTTTGAAACAAATTGAGGATGAGTAATGACAGAATTTGTATTTTTTTATTAAACTATCGCTTTAAGTTCATGATGTCTTATAGTGAGTTTATTTCAACTATAGGGAACCCACAATCAAAACTGTCTGTAGTTTAGTGTTTCTAAACTCACAAGATCTTCAGCCAATAAAAATGCCAAGACCAACTTGAATTAAAAAAGTCCAGTTCCCTGTCGGGTGTTGGTAACCCTGTTTCTGTTTCTCCAGCTGTGTGAAGTGTACAGTAAGCTGTGTAAGCATAGGCAGGTTGGAGGAGTCGGACAGACGGAGTGTCTGTCTCTCTGCAGCTTGCTGGAGAGCAGAGGAATCCTCATTCTCAAAAAGGCCAAAGAAGCTCGGTTGATTAAAGTAAGAGCTTTCGAATCATAAAGTAATCAATACTTCAATTTGTTACAATTTAATGAGGGTTCTAAATTATTTTATTTTTTTTCTTTCCTAGATCTCCCTGAAGATTGAAGAGCGAGACGTGGAAAACGCTTTGAAGGATCGAACTCTCCTTGGTAGCATATTAGCGGCTGGTCTGCCATAATCTACACACGAGTTTTTACTTTTTTTATTTTCTTTTTTTTCTCATTCCTTTAAATATTTTATATTGATGAGCTGTGAAAGTCTTAATTAAAATGAGATGTGCTGTTTTAAAGACTGATGATTTGATCCAAAAAGGGTTAATGTCATTTTATTATGTTTGTGTCAAACGTTTTACCTGCCTTTTGAAGTGTCATTCTTCTTTGATGCTTCCAAACAGAAGATATTGCCTTCTATTTTATTTTGTACATCAGCTTTGTAATGTTTTTTAGAGGGGGATACACTTTTAATAAAGCAGAATGTACATGAGTTTGATCCTGAGTCATTTATTTACTCATCTAAACCATTTGAAGTATGGCACACTTTAAAACAAATGTTATCTTGGCTGTTCCTCCCTGTAGAGTTGAACTTGGAGCCTTTGCAGGCTTTTGTAGTTTGTGTATATTAAACAATTCCTTTATTTTATTCCAGTGTCCAGCCGCGTAGTAAGATGAGATGCCAAAAGATTGGTCAGCACATCAAGATTAATTATTTTTATTAAATCAATTAAAGACAATTTACTCAGATGAAAACACTAACTGATTCTGCTGGCACAAACTCCCAAACCATTCATTCAGGTCTCAAAACAGACATTTCACAAAAAGTTTAACACCGGTTTTTACACATTTAAACTTTTTTAATGATTACCGGTACTGCAAAACTACACAAAAACACCCTCATTTTACACTGATTTAACCGTGTTCTCATTCAGAAAGCAATATAATTAACTCAAGCATCGCAATGTAAACTCTAATAGCATACATTTATCCATTTATGCAAACAAGGAAATTTCAATAATCTAAGACTGCTTCTGATCCCTCTGTGGTCATGGCATAAGTTGGTCCCATGTCATGCCACAATGGGACGTTAGGGAGAGATTAAGCAAGATCCATCCCATCCCCCTACACCAGGCCACCACACACATGCCACACTTACCCTGTTTTTGTTTTTTTAATAGCTTAAGCTTTTAATGTGTACTGTGTGCGTCTCAACTAATGTGTGATGCATTAAAAAACAAGGCATGCAATGCAGAACCAGCCCAAGGCAAGAAATCCAGGGTGAAGGAATGCAGGATCCCGAATCTATACATGTATTTAACTATTGGTTCAATATTGATCAGTGTTGTTTCCTCTTCCCACCCCTAGAAGGAGATAATTTTATAGTTATGGTTAGTTTCCAGGTAAGGAATGTCAGCGGATTCATGAATATAGGAAGGTGATCAGAGATGACCAAGAGGAGTGTAAGTATAGTGTATTGTTTTGGATGGAAGTGGACAGGTTTTCCATGGAGACGCAATCTTATTAGTAAGTTCTTCCAAGATGCAATATGTGGTGTTCCTTAATTTCCAGTTCATGAGGATCGTTTTCTTAACACCACAAGAATTAGTTGACTGTTCGGGTCAATTAAAAACACAAACATTAAGTAGCAAAACTGATGATACACCAATCCGAATCTCAGGATAAAATAAATAGGAGCACAGGTGTATCTTCACTATACTATGTACAGTAAACTCAAATATGTAACCATTTTTTTGTAGTTCTGTATTTTTGCAGAACTGAGAAATGAAGAGAAAGTCTTTTGCCAGAAGACCAAGAAACTGCTGTAGTACTGTATACTGTAATGAAATTTGGCTAAATGTGTAGATGCGTCATTTATTTTTTACTGTACTGTAATTTACAGTATACTGTATTGTGTTGAATACCGAGTTAATATTAAAACTTTTCTTCTTTAGTGATTTTCATCTACTATGAAATTTTGTAATTAATTATTTTTTCTATATCTGGTATCTGCACTCTTTCATTTATGTTGTATACTGTAATAGACATTGAGCTGGAAAATCATCTCTGAATCCCAATAAAATTGTTACAGTGTTATGAAATGATCTCACTAGTGTTCACACTTAAACAATTTCAACATCTCAGTCACAAAGCATTAGATAACATGGTTTTATTTCTTTTTTTTGGACAAAGTATGAAGTAAAAATGCTACAAAGAATCCCTTTGTCAGTTAATATGTGAACAAATGTGGAGCTAGTTTTTTATAACACGGTTTAATCGTTTAGTTAAACATTAGTCCCTTTTAATCAGCACGGCATTTATTCCTCACGCAAATAATAATAAGAAAAAAATCTCCATACACATTGCATTGCAAGACAAACAAAATCACTATTTCCTTGTTGATACATTAAGACAGTTTCACCAGAACAAATATATGGAGTGAAGAAAAAAAAAACAAGTGGCAAAAGAACTCCAGTATTTGACAGTCTCAGTTAAGGGAGGAAATATAATGCACTGCACTGAGATCCAAGCGCTGTAGAAAATCAACATTCCAGGCATTTCAGCTCACTAACGCTGATTTCTGATCAGCTCCGATCACCCGTCTGACTAAACCCACTGTGAACGAAGCCATAAAGCTGACCTCAGGTCAGTTATTGTGAGATCGCAAGTCTAAATCATTGATCGCATTTTCAAAAATCTTAAACCTATAAAAACCGACGTGATTATCATTATAAAATATTTTAATAAAATCTCTTTGGCATAGTTAACCATTCCTCTTACCAACAAAGTATTAATGCACCCATAAGAAACACTAAAATATAACATTTTCTACAAAAAGACATGTAAAATGCAACATGCTGTCATCCTTGTATAAAGGCAAGGTAAAGTTGCTCGATTCTGCCTCTCCCAGCACAGCGAGAATTGCATATATTACAGCAGTGTCAGTGAGTGTTTACTGAGAAATGGACCACAGGCACCCAGCGATGAAAAAAAAAAAAACTCTGCTGGGAGTTTCTGTCTAGTGTATTTTTTATAATCCTCTTTCAGTGGAGCTCAATTCATCATCAGGCTGTGAAATAAAAAGAAAACACTCAATTTAATGCAGTTACAGACTTCAGCAGGTAGGTCCAATCTTATTTGAGTATTTGAAGGACAACTGGTGTATTTGAGTAGTACTGACCGGTTAGTAGTTCTCAGGGTAGGAGGGTCTGAGCATGGAGTTGTAACCCATGTTATGTCCATATTCATCTAGCATTTCTTGATCTAGAGGCATGCCATCCATATGCATGCCATCATTGTATCATTGATATCCTACGGGGGGGCCGTAGCCTTCGCCATCTGCACAATGTGCAAAACCAACAAGGTGTTTCAAATCTTTATAGATATAGCTGACAGCCGTAGAGGTAAGTAGCTGGTAAATCATGGTGAGATGATATACTAACCGTCCTCTGGAAGGCCCTGATCCATCATGGTGGTGTGTGCCTAAGATGGAACAAGGACATTGTTAAAAAAAAAACCCTGCTCCTTATGTACATATTGATGATGCATTATCTCTTTTGTTGTTATTTGCATCACCATATTTCCATACAAGGACCATTTGGCTTTGATGTCAGTTTTAAAGTCAACATGAAATTTTAAAAAATGACTTTTATTTTATGGCCAGTGTATCATAGACATCTGACATACATTTGCAGAAAGTACATACTTTGTGCTAAAATGCTAAATACTGTAACCAAATAAAAAAATGCAAAATAATAAGCCTAATTAGGGATAGTAAATATATACTTACAAAAGCACAAAATAAATTAACATTACGTTTTTTTTTTTAAGTTGTAATTACTGTATAGGGGATAATCACAGTTTGTGAAATGTAAGCATTAAAAGCAATTGTTAAATACAATGGTTACAAATATTTGTTAAATACGGTTTTATTTACCATATACTCCTAATATATATATATATATTTTTTATTTCTATTTATTTTTGTAATGTGTATATGTAAATGTATAATTTTGTTACACTATAATAATGTTTTGATCAGTTTGTGATTTGCAATTGTTACTATCTACTATTCTCTATAATTTTAGGGTCAGTTTGACCCACAAATATCATAATTATCAATGGTATTTTTAACTCACAACGAATTGACAACAAAACACACAAAAATTAATTGCCCCCGTTGTTTTAATTCATAGATAATAGCAAGATCTCAATCACTGAGCATGTTAGACTGAGGGCAAAGGCTACATACAAACGCGCTCTCATTCAGACGCATAAAAACGGCCACAACAGTATTGGTGGAAAGGTGTAAGAGTTACCTGAACAAACAGACGAATTGTGTCCATGCCGGCAAGGGTGCCTTTGTTAATAGGATCTCCGGCCAGAATATGCAGAGCACCAGTGCTGCCCTCCACGATCTCTTCCATTCTCACTCCATCCTGAGAGAGAGAAAAAAAGGGTAATTTAATTAAGTGACAAGTGAGGTGTCTAAGTCGCAACATCCAGCTACGGGTGTGCCTCAGGGCTCAGTGCTTGAACCACTTCTCTTCCCCATCTATTCCATACTGCTAAAAATGGAGACTACCTGGTTTTGGAGGAAAAGTTTCTTGAAGCTGGTGTCTTCCTCCGTCACAAGTTCATTGTAAGCTCCACGGAAAGCTCGTTCAGAGTCTGTGGTGGTAGCACAGACACTTTTAGGTCTGTCCTGCTTGGTGTCTGGGCAGTGCCCAGCCGTCATTCAGACTCTTAAGTCTGAGAGTCCTGTTATGGAGGCTTGTTCCAGCTGCTGGTAGCGTCACAGCCAAAGCCAGAACGCGGTGCCACCCTGGGCTGGATGTGTCCAGAGCAGATGGAGTCGGTCTTGGTGTGTCACACCGGTCGAAGACTGCAGGTGAAAATCAATGTCTCGTAGATTGGCAGGGACGTGTGGTCTCCTGCAAGCTCTGGTGTGAAGGCAGGGATATTTCTGACCATTTGCTTTCATGTGCCGTTTCAGGGTTTGTCTGAATTAAACCTTTTCCTCCTCCAGCTGCAGGGGCTCTCAGGACACTGGCTGGTGCAGTGTTAGATGCAAAAAACTGCATTATGATCACTAAAAGACACATCCAACACACCTGATTGACTTATTCCACAGTCAGATACCAAAATGAAGTCAAGAACGGACTGGCTGGACAACCTAGTGGGCTCAGTAATTAATTAATTGCTGTAAACCAGACACCCTGCAAAAACATGAGAGAGATTCGTTCAAGCTACTTCGTTCTCGTGGTAATAATACATTTGTATTAAAATCACCCATGATGATGCATTCTTTCTCTAGGAATATATTGCTTTTGCAACAGACAGATTCAAGAAGTTCATAAAAGTTTGTTTGCTTAGGTGGGGGGTAATGGTGCGTTCTATTATAGCCAACGAACCGACTCGGACCTCGGATATGACGTCACGTCCACACTTCAAGCGTTCTATAATGTTTTGGGCGTCCGTAATTAAAAAATA